AATTTAGCAGGGTGGTGCCTCCTTTATGTCTCATGACTTTTCTCTTCTCCCTTTCTGGACAGAGGATGTGATGGCTGGACCTGTGGGAGCCAGACTGGGCCTATGGAGCTACTATGAGGATGAAGTTATGTGCTAAGAATGACGGAGATCCCTAATGCTGCCTCCAGACACCATGCCTTCTGTGCAGTGTTCACCAGCAAGGTTGTTGCATGTGCAAAAATGGACCCCTGCTGGGTAGAAGTGGGGTCTCTGACATCCACAGCTGGGCACAAAGCCTAAGCAATCTGTCATCTTACATGCCTGATTTTGAATTACTAACACGGCCCGGCTCTGTGGGCAAGCACTAAATTACTGAAAAGTCAGCTGCTTGAGAAGTGTGCTTAACTGGCTGATGATGCCTGAAATTCCTGAGGTGTGGCCTGCGCCTTATTTTACCACTCGAGAGAAGGCTTAAATTGCAAACGTCCCAACAGAGATGTCTCGAGGACTGAGTTTACTCTCCGAGGCTGTCCTGGGTTTTGTGGGGCTAGGAAGGAGCAGGATATGGGTGAACCCTTGGGGAAGACAGGGGCATGGCGGGGGGACGCGTAGAGCCAAGCTCCAGGGGCCAGGCTCAAGGCACAGTTGCCAGTTGAAGGTTTGCCCAGGCTTGTGCCAGGTGAGGGGCCCACTCTTGAAATAACTTTTTCAGAGTGCTCCCCGCAAAGCACCATGCACTGGACTGGCATTATTTCACTTAGCTTTTCTAACAGCCTCCGGAGGTCGGGCAGCATCGTTCTCCTCTCATTTTATAGATGAAGAAACTGAGGCACAGCAATGTGCAGTAAACAGGAGACTTGAAATACGAATCAAGATCCGAGGCCAGAGCCTCAGCCCTCGGCAGCGATGACCTTCAGCAGTAACGATCAACCCAGGACAAGCACCTGTCAGGTGGCAGCCAGCCTAGTGGGGTTCTATGGAAGAAACTGAGGCAAAGGGAGGTTAATGAACTTACTCAGTGGGAGGCCTGAAGTGTGAACCAGTTTGTCTCACTCCAGAGCTGGCAAACACTGAGGAGAAGACATTCATTTTTTCTAAATGTTTTCAAGGCCCCTGAATTTTTTTTTTTTAGACAGACTCCCACTATGTAGCCCACACTGGCCTTAAACATGCAGCAATCCCCCTGCCTCTGCCTTCTGAGTGCTGGGATCACAGGTGTGCGCCAGCACACTTGGCTTGAGGCCTCTCAATTTGAACCAGTTAAAAAGCTAGAACACAAAGGAGCCCCTGCGGTGTCTTAGTTCTCCAGCACTGTCCGGCTGGTAAGTGTGGAGGCTGCATAAGCCCACTCACCTGGGCCTTCGTGACACCCAGGATCCCCACTCTTCTCCTTTCTTACTTCACAAATTTGCAAGCATGCTGGTCATGTGATTTGCTCAAATATGATAAAAGGATTAAACTAAGAGCCCCGAGGGAAAGCAGACTGCCCCTGGCTTCAGGTGTGCTTTCATGCTGACACGAAGGGCTGGCCCTTCCGCGGAACCAGAGCTCTTGAAGGACCTGCAGACCTTGGGCTTAGGCAGTTTGAGGATGAAACCATCTCCCCTCCGCCTCCTCGAGTTGGGAGCAAAGCTTCATTTTTCACCAGCTGCGAGCTCAATCATCACAGCGGAAAGCCGGGCACAGCGGCTGTGCTTGAAGCACGTGGGAGCCGGGACCATGGATCATCCTGACCTCCGACAGCACCCGGAAGGAGCGGGCAGAGACAGCGGGGTCTGCGGGGCGGTGTGTGCTGCCCGTGGACAGGCAAGAGGCACAGCGCAGGTGCGGCACTTGACCCCAAGCTGAGGCGCCGCCTGCAGGGGGTGCTGGGGACAGGCTCCCCTAGCTGGAGGGAGGGCTCTGTTTTCTGTGCCCACCACAAGCCCTGCTGGCTGGTTGGGCCTCCCAGGCCCTGCCTGGAAACACCCAGGGGCTTCCGAGCGGGGGACAGGGCCGCTCACCCTGCACCGTTAGTGCCACCCTGTGAAATCACCCCACGGCCAGGACTGTTAATGCCTGTGTCTGTTGAGCTAGTTTTTGCCTGGGTTCTAGCTTCCTGGTTTTTGTTGTTTTTTTTAAATTAACGCAACAGTGAGAAACCATTTTCCACTTTACAACACTCGAATTTTGTTATTGTAATAAATGCTCAGAAGGCACGCAATAACATTTACTACTCAGTAGGTAGAAATAAAGATTGGTAAGAGCCTCAAAAATATTCCTATTATTTTACTTGAGAATTATCCCCAGAAATCAGCAGAGATGTAAACCATGATTGGTGTTGCAACAAACACCTCTTCTGAAATTTGTCCAGAGTGTGCTCAAGTGCACATGCGTGCGTGCGCACACACACACACACACACACACACACACACTCACACACACTCACACCTTTGTAAGAATTTCCATTCCCCATCCGCTTCCTAGCAGCATCTTCTCCCCCATCAAAGTCCCCTGGCTACCACTGATTGGAGGAACAGGATGGGCCAGTAATGGTTCAGTCATTGTTCATTACGCCAGAAACAGTTGTTTTTCAAGTTGGGTTTGTGCTGAATAGTGCTCATTGTTGCATTATTTATTACTGTGCACATCTGAGACATCTGGACGTCCCCTAGTGCAGGACTGGTTAAATAATCTGCGGTGCGCCCACCCGTGGAATGTGGTGTCACACTTGGCATCCCTTCACCTGTCACGGCCTTCTCCTCCCACACCCGCTTCTCTCCTCCCTTGCTGAAAAGCTGAGGAAACTTCTCTCACAGTCAGCACTCCACCCTCCCAGTCCTTCCAGAATCCCCTCAGCCTCTCTCCCACCAGAATCGCCCTTGTCAAAGTCACCAGTGACTTCCCAGTGGCCCAGTCCATGGGCCAGTTGTCCTTCATCGTGTTTCTAGACCTGAGCGGCAGGGTTTGACCTGACTGACGGCTCACGTGTTCTCGAAACTTTCTCCACTTTGCTGCTGAATTCAACTCTCCTAGCTCCTTGCTCACTCATTCCTCAACTTGTTTTCTGGCTCCTCCTCCTCCTTACTTCTAGACATGACAGTGCCCCAGAATGCAGCCCTTGGATCTCGGATCCTTTAACCTTACACGACTTTGGAGACCTCCTCCTGCCAGGGTTCATGATTATATCTCCGGCCTGGCTTTCTCTCTGCCCTCAACTCCAGATTCCTACACAAATGCTTACCCTGCTCTTGCACTTGGATGTCCAGTAGGCATCTCACAGTTGTCCAAAAGTGAATTCTTAATTTCCCTACACTCTAATACCATCCCTGAAACTTATTCTTGCTGAAATCTTTCCGTCTAGGAAATGGTACAACTATTCACTCTGCAGCTGGAGCCCATGCGTAGTAGCGTCTGTCCCCAGAGAGCAGAATGGCGGGAGGCTCTTGTCCATCCTTGTCCTTCTGGGTGAGCAGCACTGATCAGAGGAGGAAGGAACCTGCCACACTGCAGAAGGGAAAGAATTCAGGAATAAGGACTAACTATACCCTTGTGTGACTTTAGGCAACTGTACAAGACACGAAGATCTTCTTTCTCAAAAAGACAAAAGTAAGAAGTAAAAGTTAGAAGCTGCAGATTGTTCACACCAGCTAGAGGCCTGGATTGGGGCCCAAACTATCTGGATCCGTTTGCTTGCCTACCATCAAGGATAGGAGAAAAGTCCATCAAAATGGAAAAAAAAAAAAAAGTTTATTCACAATTTGTCCAAATTGGGAGGCAGCTAGTGTGTCCCACCTGGAGCAGGCAGGAGAATTCCAGTTCATAGAAGGAGTAGAAGAAAAGCTGGGAAACATGCATGTGTAGATTCAGCGTAGCTTTGGCCCAACCTGGGCCCAGAAAAAAATGTTGCAAGTCCGGTTATGTTGAATCTTCCTTGGCGCCAGGGCTGGGCTGGCATTGTCTGCCCTCACCGTCAGGAAGCTAGAGAAAGAGCTGACTTAAAAACAAAACAACACAAAAAACGCCCAATTTTTTAAAGATCCACTGTAACCTCTTAGCTACATCCTTCTAACAAGAAGGCAAGGTGGCCAAGAGCACCTAGAGCTGACCAAACAGTGGCAAGTTTCTAGGCTAGGGTGGCAATCGCCATCCTAGGCTAAATTATTACCTTGCTTTGGCAGACCTTAAAGTCTGGCCCCGGCTCCAGGCTGGGGACAATGACACCCAAATCCCTTCTCTTTAGGGTGATGCCCCAAGGAACACAAAGAGTACTGCTGGGACAGGCAGGGGAGAGGACTGGCTCCATTGTGCTTACACGTCAGCGGGCCGGAGGGACAAAGGAGGAGGAAAGGGGATCAGAACAGCACGCAGTGCCAGTTAAGAAACCAAGATGTCAGTGTATGACTCAGTTATAATCATTTGTTGGTCTCGGCTAAGTGAAAACAAGGACATCTGAAGGTCACACATCATGTGCAGTCCTCCTGATACCGGACAACGATGTCAGGACAGGAAGCGTTCTGTACAGACCTTCCTGCCTTGGGCTGGGACCTGGTTTAAATGAAGAACTTATCTTTTGTGAGTTTCTTATGTGATGAAAGAACCCTGAGGAAACGCTGATCATCTAAAAGGGACAGAAAAATGCTGCCTTGGTTACTTTTCACTCGTTGCTGAGACAAAATACCCAACACCCAAATTAAAGAGGGAAAGGTTTATTTTGCTCACAGCTTGTGGAGGTCTCAGTCTGTAATCAGCTGGCTCCAAGGCAGGGTGGCACAGCACAGCGGCAACAGTTCAAGGCAGCAGAACACTGCAAAAAGCAACAAGAGCAAAGGAAAGGGTAGAACAAGCCTCTTTTCCTCCCTGATATCGTATGCAGGCTCTCACCCTAAGGTGGGTCCTTTACACCCACACCACCTCAGTGCCCTCCTCTTGCACAGGATGAGGACGTTTACAAAGTGAGGACCCTGGCCCCTTGCTGAGTGGCTTCCTTAAGCTTCTAAACTTCTCAAATTGACACAATATATCAACCATTACAGCTGGTTTGCAATTCCTAGGTAACTTCCCGGTAAAACAGTGATAAGCATCACAATTGCCCCAGCTCCTTGGACCCCAAGAGTAACCCTAGGTCCCTAAAAAGGCTTCTGAACTTGCGGTCATGCACACACCTTCACGGCCCTGCCCACCTTCTCTCTTGAAGGGGCAACTCTCTCTGCATCCCCTTTACAATTCATTTTCCCCAGGCTGCGTGGCTGCTTATGCACTTGGTTGAATTCTTTCATTAAGGGCACCAAAAACTGACAACCAAGGAGTGAGGGGCCAGTTCGTTGTTGCTTCAGGACCTGGCTTCCGGTACTATCCCCTTCCATCTCAGAGAGAGGCAGCACAACACGGCCCAGGCCGAAGGACGTGGCACCAGGTCAGAGGCGCAGGCAGAAGCAGCTAATGTGACCACATATGGCAGCCGTTCCGCCTTTCAGGGCATCGGGCCATCTGCACCAAGGTTCCGGTTCTTGGGCCAGAAATCTTGCATCAGAGCCTCCCTGAGCTGCACCTGCACTTCCCAGCCAGGTCTCTCTCTGTCTCTGTCTGCTTCGGGCTCCCTGCAGACAAGGCCAGCCGTGGAGATCTGTGTCCATCAGGGTTCTCCAGAGTGCAAGAACCGGCAAGATCCAGTACATAAGGGATAGGAGGGAGAAACAAAGGGATTTATCTTAAGGAATCCACTTGCATGAGGCAGAAGCTGGCGAGTCTGCAGCCTGACGCCATGGGCCACAGGCTGAGTCTCCAAGGGCAAGGGTGCAGTCAGGTCCGAGGCCATCTGCTAGGAGGCACCTTCCTGTGAGGGGGGAAGCTTTCAACACCATTATGGAGGTTTCTGCTTTTAGTCCCACCCATAGAACATCTCCTCAGAAACATCCAGAAGAAGGGGTCACCAGATCTCTGGCAGTGTGACCCAGCCAGGTGTCCAGATAAAATCAACCACCACAACCCCTCACACGGGCTCAGGGAGCTCCCCTTTGTGATGAAGGAACAACAAGAAAATGATAGTCTAAGTGGGTCCACCCTGGGAGAGCAGCAGAGAGAGGTCTGTGGAGCATCTCCATAGCATAGGGACGCCTGTGAGTTATAGTAAGTGGTTTAAATCGAGCCTGTGTACTTCAGAGCTTCCTGATTCCAAATGATGTTCTCATTTCTCCTGCTGACTTCAGATGGAACCCGCGGAGGGAATAAGCCACACAGCTGCACATCCACGCTGTTCCCCCCGCTCCTCCCACTGACACCACTGCCTGGGAGGAAGCTGCAGCTAGAGGAGGAGCTGCCCGGTCCTACTGCCATGCAGACACTGTCCTGGACCGCAGCAGCCGTAGCAACCTGCTGGGTAGTTTGCTGAAGCCCAAGAGAGAAGAGAAACATGAACATGGTTTAGGAAGGACAAGAAAACAACACACACTCCAACATTCTACACATTTCCTACAGAGCAACACTTTTATACAACAAAGTGCTGCAAAATAACGAATATTTTAAGTAGACTTGAAGGAGAGGGGAAGGAAATCGGAGAGCAGAGGTCAGGACAAGAGAGGACGCAGAACCAGGCAAGACACAAAATCAGATTTCCCAGTGCGTCCCCAGGACCCTGGCTGACCCTGACTCCTTTGTTCTTGAACTGCCGCCATTCGCCTGGCCCTGAATCCTTTCTCCTTGGCATCACCCATGATTTGGTCCTTGTCATCTATTTTTCTGAGCTTGACCTCTGTGATTGAGTCCGATTAATTTTATAAGAAATGTTTACACAGAAAGTCTGAGCCTTTCCCCTGAAGCAGATGAGTGATGAGTGAGGTCGCCCTTGGGATATTGATTTCTTAAAGGTAATTTGGCGTTTCTTGTTTATAATGTCAAAAGTTGCAGGGCTGGGCGATATTTTGGGGTTCACCGAGTTCAGCTCTCTAGGGATTTAGAAGCTGAGGTTCCAGGAGGTCAGTGGCTTCAAGGTGAGTGGCGACCACGGTGCCAGCTCGCCCTCTGTCCCTCACTCTGCCGCATCCCGGGAGGAAGAGCTTGCAGATCACAGATGAGATCTCGGGAACAAGCCCGATTCCTCCCGGCCGACAGGAAGGCCGATGCCTCCTCCCCCATCACGCATGCTCCTTAATCTGGGAATTCGTGGCTCAGGTCGGTATCAAACAGTACAGCTCACCAGGCCGATCCAGCCCAAGTGAGGGATCAGCAGAACGGAGCCACGCACTCCTCTGATGATCAGCAGAGCTGTCCCGAAGGGCCCCGACAGACTCGTTACGCCTTTCTGCAAAGCCAGTTCGGGGCAGTGGCCTGATTGCGGGATAAATCACACCAGGAAATTGAAATGAGTGGGAGGAAGCGCAGGCGGGGTGCATTACACAGTAGAAAACAGCTCTCCGTTCTGTAGCAAAATCACCGGTCAGAGGCGGAGAGGAACCCCACAGACGTCCAGGGAAATAAGGACAGGCCGGGAAGACAGGAGCAAATATGAGACGCATAAATCAGAAGGCTAAGCTGATGGGAGAGGCGGTATAGAATTAAAAGAAAGCAAGAAATGGAGGCTGAAGACCAGGCTGAAAGGAGAGAGGAGCTGAGTGTGACAGAAAGCCCACACATGCGCCCACCTCTCACTGTGCCCCAGCGTGGTAATTCATCCATGGTATATCCTTAACACCAGGTCGGGCCGACTGGCCTCCAAGTACAGAGCTCCGTCCTTTCTCCTGGCCAGCCTCTCACGGAGGGGGCTAAGTGCAACATGCACAGAGTGACACTTGCTGCAGCCCAAGCTACCATTTATTGACTTGTTCACTGATTCTAAGCATAGTTATTGAGTATCTAATATGTACCAGGCACTGTGCTAAGATATAGTAACATACTGGATCGTTCTGGCCCTTGTCCTTGGTAAGCTAATACTCCACCAAGGGAAGGAGTGGTACACTACAAAGTCACATCAAAGCAGCTGAGGCAGCTGTGCTACTGCTTGGATATCGGGTCCATTCTGCACGTAAACCTGAATAAGAGAGGTTTGAAGGAATAGATGTTCACTTTATCCGTGTGATAAGTATAAGTGAACAGAGGCCTATTTTCATACTTACAAAACAGAGGAAGTCCAGAGAAGCTGTAGCTCCCCCAAAATGACACCAGGACCCTCTGGGTCTGTTTGTCTAGACAGGCAGTGTGGCTCGGTGATTCAGGTGGGAATGTCAGGGTTACCCGAACAGGTGCCCCTAACCACTCCTACCTAGTCTTATCGTTAAGACTTGGCCCTGCTACTTGTTAGCTGTGTGATGGGGAAAGGGACCTAATCTCGCTGCAGTTCTCCAGCTTTCACAGCTGTAGAGTGGAGATGCAAGTGGCAGCCCGTGCCGAGGTCCACCCAAAGTCGGATGGTTTAACAGCCGAGCCTCCAGTGCATGGTGTGGGCAGGATGTGTTATTGCAGCTGGTGATATTAGTGCCTTGCCAACCTTCACAGCTCAGACTTTGTCCTTGAGCTGGGCCCCTCGTGGTCTGTCGCAGAAGGCACCTTGGGCACCGTAACATGTTCTGGACAGGAGGAAGGGGAAAGGGCTGAGCAGCGGGCTAGCACAATCCTGCTCTTTCACAATCTGGAACATGATGCTTTCTGAATGCACACGGCCCAGCGCTGTCATCTCCTTAGACCAACTGGGTCATGTGGCTGCCCCAGCTGGAGGGGAAGAGCCAGGCGTTGGTGACTTTGAAGTCGTGGTTGGAGTTGGGGACTGGGATGCAGGCCCAGGATCAGCCAATCGAGGCAGTGTGCGGTGGCTTCCATTGGGAGACGACCCTGCTCACAGTTGCTAGACTTCCATTCTGACCTGTCCTCCCCGCTTGATTACAGGAATCGAGCTGGCTGAAACGAGTGGCCCCTGCTTCTCATCCACCCCACTGCCGGATCTCCTGTCCTCCACTCCAGATGAGGCACCCAAAGCTCTCCACTTCCAAGCAGTCCAACCGCCCCAACCATTTACCTTGTTCCTAATGCCTGCGAAGCTCTGCCCTGCGCGGCAGAGAGCCCTGAAACTGAGCAACAATGCCTGTCCTCGCAGACCATGAACTCTTTCCTACCAGAGGTGATCTAAATGAAGGAACTTAGGGTCCCTGTAGAAAGACAGCTTGCCTTGAGAATCAGGAGCCTTGGAAATGTTCATACCTGTTAGCCCAGCAATTTGATTCTAAGACTCTTCTCAAAAAATAGTTGGAACGCTGGACAAAAATTATATTCATAAAGACGCTGAGCATGTGCTGTTTTCAATAGCCAAAAAGGTCACACAACTGATGATTAAACAATCTCAAAATTATGTCTATAAGGAGTTTTTAATGTTGTAAGGAACATTACTGGGTAATTTTTGGTTTTCCACTTGAGTTTTTAGTGTTATGAGACATTTTATGAGAAAATGTTCATCGTGTATTACTAGGCTGGGGTGTGGAGCTTACAGATGTGCTGAGCTACCTCACAGTCTGTCAGTGAATGCATGAACTTCGCATTTACACTAGTTCCAAATTCCAACTTTGCAGCTCAACCGTAACTTATTTTAGGTCAGTTTTCCTAACCTCTCTGAGTCTCTACATAGAACGTGGAAAGATGGAAGAAGAGAGGGAATAAGGCAAGAGGAAAAGAAATGCCTTAGCAAAGCACCACGGTGGGAACAGAGGCAGAATTCTTCTTTAGGTACTGGGGATTGAACCCAGTGCATGGGTTCCTAGGCAAGTGTTCTACCACTGAGCTACATCTCCAGCCCTACTCCACTTCCTTACGTCAAAATTGCTATCGATTCACCACAGTAAGGCATCTGCCTCCACCCACCCTAGAGAGCAAAACAGAAAATGCATTCACTGTGGGCACCAGTGATTTCCAGGTTGCTGTTCTAGTTCGGGTTGAAGATGTCCCTGTGTGCTCACGGCTTGGTCCCCAGCTTAGTACTATTGGGAGGTGGCAGACTCTTTAAGAGGAGGGCCCTCCGGGAGGTCTTTGAGCCACTGAGAGTGTCCTTGGAGGAATACTGGGGAATACTCCACTCCCTCTTCACTCTTTTTCTCCCTAGTCACAGGGTGAGCAGCTTTGCTCCACTCCTGACTCCTGCTGTGATGTGCTGCCCCCTACAAACCCCAGAACAACCAATCCACCATGGACTGGACCTTCCAAAACCTTGAGTCAAGATAAAGTTTTTCTCTTGATAGGTTAACTATCCTAGGTATTTGCTACAGTGACAGAAAGTGAAGTTCACTGCCAAATCCAATATTGCTATGTTGCTATCCCTGACTACAACTTGACCTCTCTGTGGTATGGAACCATACAGTAGCTCTTACCTCCTGAAATTTTCATCTTTCTTGCTTCCTCCTAACTCTTTCCTAATTTTTCTCTTTTCCCTCACTGATCATGTCTCACCTTCCTCTGCTGGCTCCTACTCATGTGCTCCATCCCTAACTGTTGGCTGTCCCAGACCTGGTTTGTGGGTCTTCACTTCTATCCATATGCTTAGGATGATGCCTGAATTTTCATCTCTAGCCCTGATATCTCTAATCAAATTCCAACTGCATTTACCCAACATCTCAGACACAGCAAATCCAGAAAAGAAACTCTGGGTTTCCCCACCAAGAAATCTG